AAAAAAAAAAAAAAGAATATCAGCTCCTAGTATTTGCCACCATTTAGCCAAGATGGAAATATAATGTCATTACAGTTTCCAAGTACTCTAAGACTAACAAATCTCAGGGTGAGAGTCACAGCTCCTCTCAGAACCAACTATAATTTATAAATCAAGAAAGGTCCCCAGAGAGGAATAGCTGTAATCATTACAGGGCCAGCTTCCCATGTTAAATTTTATGACTATATTGTTTAAGTGCCAAAGTAGCACTGTAGAAGGAAACTCAATGGAGTTTTTAAGACTTCTGAAATGTACACTGAATGATTTTGTTATAAGCTATGATCCTGAATTCTCCTGAAATAACCTACAAAGAACAATTACAACTACAATTTCCTATGTTTTCAGAGAAAACAGAAGCCTGAAGTGCTCTATTAGGTGCACTCTGCTGGCTTTTCTATTTGAAAATAGAGCTCTTTTAGAAATCCAACTGCAGAAGCAGCCCAAAGAAACCCAGGCACTCTTAGTTTTAGCCACTATGGATGCAGGAAGCACATGTGTTTTAAATAGGAATTTAAATCACTTGGTACCGTACAGAAGTACTTACACTTTGCTCCAAGGTAGTTATATCCTGTTCTGCTTTTGAAAGCTTAAATTTGTATTCGCTTATTTGCCTGTTGGCATCTCCTAAAACAGAAGATGATAAAGAATTATCTTCATCTCCCAGAGAGGAAAGTCTGAAGCATCAGACAATGATGCCCTCTGCAGCATATAAAGGACTGTGCAGTCTAAGATGACAAAACAAACACTCAGCAATCAGCAGCCCTAGTTCAGGATTATGTATAGCCGAAGAAGCTCCAGCACTTAGGTTCCAACAGTAGCCTTGGGATCAACGGAATACGTTATTCTTTACCCTCTGATGTGTGAGAGAACTCAGAAAGAAACCCTGCTGAGAGAACTCAGCAATGACCCCTGCAAACTTATCTGTAGTCCTGTGGGTCACGGAGCTCCATCTCACAGGACTGGGCCATCTGGTCCTGAGAACCCAGCCCTGCATCTTCCCATCTCCCAGCTTTTTTGTTTTGCACCAGAGATCGAACTCAGGACCTTGCGCTTTCGAGGCAGGCACAATGCCACTGAGCTAAATCCCCGGCACCATTTCCCAGGTTTTACCTCTGTTCTCCTATTCAAGTGCCCTGTCACCCCCACTTCTGATTCAAGTCTCTGCCTTCAAGACTATGCTCATTTTTATCTCCACTTCCCCCCTTAGTACTGATAAGGTTTCCTAACCTTTGTTGCATTTACATTCTTTTTATTTTTTTTTTATTTTTTATTTTTTTGGTACATTCTTTTTTGACATTTATTGTGCATAATATTGACAAATATTGTATGTATAAAAAGAGGCGCTGTCTTAGCCTTTTAATAATTTTAATTAATTGCAGTACTGGAAATTGAACCTAGAGCCTTCACACTGAACTACATCCCCGGCCCTTTGTGTATTTTGAGACAAGCTATCACCAAGCCGCCCAGGCTAGGCTCAAACTTGGCAATCCTCCTGCTTCAGCCTCCGAGGGTGCTGGGATCACAGATGTGCACCACCACATCTGGCTTAACTTTCTTAAATCAACTTCTGTACCTTGCCAATTGCTTTGCACATAGTGGTGCTTCAATAAATATTTGATGAAATAAAAGATTTTTGATAATGTTTTGATAATATCTTATGGGTAGAGCTACAAATAAATAGAAATAAATCATTTTGGTGGGCATAGTGGTACATGCCTGTAATTCCAGCACTCTGGGAGTCTGAGGCAGGAGCATCACAAGTTTGAGCCTGGCCTGAGTTAATGAGATTCTGTCTCAAAATTAAAAAAGGACCAGGGGGACCAGGGATTTAGCTCAGTGGTTCCACCACCTACCTCGCAAGCACAAGATCCTGAGTTTGAGCCCTGGTACCAAAATAAATAAACAAATAAATAAATAATAAAATAAAGTAAATAAGTTCACATCAACAGATGAATAGATAAAGAAAATGTGCATGTATATACAATGGAGTACTACTCAGTCATAAAGGATAAATTTGATTCATTTGTAGGACTACAGATGCCCCTTGAGACTACAATGCTTAGTGAAATGTATCAGACACAGAAGTTTAAATATTGCATGGTTTCTCTCATAAAAGAAACCCAAAGTATAATTTAAAGAGCAAAATAAAAAACCAAAAGGAGGGCCAGGGATGTAGCTCAGTGGTTCCAGTGCCTGCCTTGCAAGCACAAGGTCCTGAGTTCAATCCCCAGTACCAAAAAAGAAAAAAAAAAAAACCAAAAGGAAACAGGGAGGTAGACCTTTTATAAAAGAGAGGAGAAGCTAGAGTTAGAGGGAAGGAGGGAAGGGAAATAAAAGGATTAAAATGCCATATTGTACATATACAAACTCCCCAGGATGAATGTATACATTATGTATCACAAATATGTACTAGTAATATAAAAACAAAACAGTTTAGAAATGACAGGAAATAAAAATTTCCTCTAAGAACTCAAATTTCACAAAAATCACCCTCTGAAATGATTATCAAATCATAAAGGTTACAGAATATGAATCAAATATAACCTACCAAAGTAAATACTCAAATTATCTAACTCAAGAACTTTTCTCTATTTCCACATGACAAAAGTTAAGTACCTATATAATCTTTCCAAGAGATTTTAATTAGGACAGTTACTGTCATCTTAAAAGTAATGAGGTTATGAAACCACCTCCCCAGAGCTAACTCTGGTAGTGAAAACAACTGTTCATGAGCTTTCAAACAGAAGCTTTAGGGTCTTGCTTTTTTGTTTTGTTTTTTCTAAAATTCTCATCCCCAGAAACCTATTGGTTATCAAAATGTTCTAACTCCTTTTCAAGTTATTGATTCCGTCCTATTTTCAAATGTGTAAATCTGTTGACCCAGTCACTTCATGATGAGAAATCCCATTCCAAGGACTATGCAACAGCTAAAGTGCTATCCAGAACCAAAAGTTGCCTGGGCCCTTTCCTGGCCTCCTGAGGTACAGAGGAGATGATTGATTTTGTTTTTACTAGCCAGGTCCAGCCTTCTCACAGTCTTGCTCATATCACTCATTGCATACCTCCATGGTGAATATTTTTTCCTTGCCTTCTGCAAAAATCATCTCTACAATAGCTATATGGTTCTAGGAAGTCACAAATGCTAACCCATTCCTCTTCAATTTGATTTTCTTTTTCAATCTGCTGCTTTAGGCCAATCTCTCAGATCTTCCTCCTGTCCTTTAAGACTTTTTAAACAATCATTGTACTAGTTTAGGTTCACCACCATAGCTTCCTAACTAGCTGTCACACTGCTGGTCATGTCCCTGTACCCTCCACATCAAAATGATATTCTAGAACAAGACAATCCCTGAGAACACCATGAAGGTCCTAGCTGATAACCAAAATTGGAAGTTAACCAAAATGGGAAGTAATACTAACCTCAAAAGCTAGTACTACTAAGCCTAATCCAAAATGTCTTTTCTGTTCAACCTAACTCAGACGAAAAGGCCGTAGAACAGTAAAGATTATAATTTCAGTTGTCAGAAAAGCCACCATTAAATCAGAAAAGTCAGTCGCCCCTATCTATAAATTATACATCAACACTAACAAAGGCTAACTATATATGGATGGCTGCTGAAATATCTCAACTGTGGGATTTAGTATGAGTACAGTACCTAAAAAGAGTCAAAAGTATAAAGAGAAAAAAACTGAAATAATTTGGGGAAACTTAAGGAGACTCAACTTTACTTTGTGACTTTCTTTTAAATTCCATGTAAAAATTAATCTGGGTTTTACAGCAAGTCCAGGAAAATTCTGAAACTACTCAACATTGGTGTGAGTCCAAAATCTCCAATTATCCACGATAAATTCCACAAACTTTCATGGGGAAAGGTGCTACATGGAAGCTCAGAGATACCACATGAATGTGGAAAAGGATACTGTCAGGTCAAAAGTATTTCACTATTTGCAAAAAAAGTCCCTAGAAATCTCTTTGCATAGAAAGAGTAAAACGAATAACTTGTCCTCCCACAACCCTGAAGCCACAACAAAGACAGCCTCTGCTCAGCTGTACTACTAACAAGGCCTGCTCTTCCACACTAGCTGAGGCCTAGCCAGTCTTTTTAACACAGTCCTAGTGCCAAGCTTTCCATGTTGATGGTGTCTGTGGGCGGCTGGAAAAGTCACTTGTATATTTCCAATTATTTTTGTATGTAGAAAATTTTCTAAAGAATATTTAACAAAAAGTATAACTTCATGGGTGTTTCCATTTTTAGTATACTATAAAAATACTTCTGATGACTCTGGCATCCTGCTCATAACCTCAGTCTGGGGACACAGCTTATATACAGACAGGGACTGGCCTATCCCCTAACACTTACTCTGCATTTCAATGAACTGCAAGTCTGAGCCATTCTGCAGTCCTGCCAGGTCACCTGCTGTGCCATCATTCCTGGAGCACTTTTGTCGTTCTTCTTCTAGCTGCAGCTTCAGTTTTCTAATCTGAAATGGAAATAAAAATCACCACCAAGATCCATTCTCTCAAATGAATCAGATGCTTGACCCAATAGCCATATCAGGGAACAAGGCAGATCCTCATATCAACCATACAAATCATTCATTCAAAAAATATTTTCTTGGGTGCCTACTATGAGACGCAAGGTTCTAGGTACTAGAGATAAGCTCTAAACAAATACAAAAATGATTGAGCTCTAGGATCAGGTGTCCTAATAAAAACAACAGCCAGGTGGTACATATCTATAATTCCAGCATTTGGAAGGCTGAGGCAGGAAAATCACAAATTTGAAGACAGCCTGGCTACACAGAAAGTTCAAGGCTGGCCTGGACTACATTGGGAGACTGTCTCAAAACAGAAACAAACAAGGGCTGGAGATTTAGCTCAGTGGCACTGCACCTGCCTTACAAGCACAAGATCCTGAGTTCGATCCCTGATACCAAAAAAAAAAAAAAAACCAAACCAGAAACAAATGAACAAAAAAAGTGCTATATTTTATTTTTTGTGTGGTTTATGGAACAGCAGAGGTATTTTCGTTACTTTTACTCAAAGTGGAAGCATCTATGAAGTTATATTTTTTGTTCAGCTTTAGAGACAAGTTAAATATACTTATTTAGAAAACTTTCTGTACACAAAAATAATTGAAGATATACAAGTGACTTTCCCAACTGCCCTCAACACCAGCAACAGGGGTCATGAGGAAGCCTGGCACTGGGATTAAACCCATTCTTTCCAGAGACTGCTCTGGCCTTTGACATATATTAGGGCTTACATCACTGCGTGCCTTAAGGGAAACAAACCAATCGTTGCTATTTATGTTCATTTCAAAAAGTGTCATCTTTCCTCTCCTGCACTGTTAGGCACAAGGCTCTGTACAACCCAAACCCTCATCTACTAACCTTTCCTAATGCCTGAAACTCTCATTGAACCCTCTAGAGGTATCAGTACATCACTAGCAAAACCTCTCCTTCCTCAACCTCTTCTCAGTGCTCTAGAAACATGCTGCCTCCAAAGAACCATGTTTTCTCTGCAGCCTATCAAACACTAGCTGTTTTATAAATTCTACAGCCTCCTACCACTGATCCTGGGAATAGACTAGATGTCCACTTGCTTTCCTTGCTACGGCTGAAGGCCCAGTTGTTAATCTCATCTCTTCAAGTTATATATACTACCTCTCATCACTGCTATCATCCAACTCCATCACCAATTAACCTCCTGACTCTCAGTCCCTCAAGACTACTGTCTCAATTCTTGGTAATTTCATTACTGTACAGGCTCTTTTCTTTAACTTAACTCTCAGTTTCTATTACTCTCTGTTTCTCTACTTCCCCTCCAAAGATCTTACCGTCTACCCCTTCTTGCCCTCAGCCACTCACACTCAAGTCATGTACTAGCTATCATTAAATAACCACAGTCCCTGTATAACTTAGTTTCATGTATCCTCTCTCTAACCACAATTCCTCATCTTTCCAGACCACTCTCTCTAGACCCTAACGCAACATCCTTCAACCCCACTGGTATTGTGCTTCTAATTCACTGATTCCATCTTCTTCCCACTGTGCCTTGGTATCTTTCAACTGTCTTTATCCTCTTTAATTTCTACATCTATCATTATCATCACTCTCTTACACATTCTCTTACCTCCCTTGTCCCATTATACTTGCTGGTAAAATCTCTATTCATTTCATGCCACACTTAAAGGGCTGAATATAACTGTAGACACACATATGTTAAATCCATAGGCACAAATCTTTTAATATACCATATAATTTCCTTACGTTTATTTCTATGATCTCTTTACACTAGAATTTTCTGTAAGGTCCACTGGGGCAGAAATTTTTTGACTGATTTATTTACTTAAAAACCCTAAGTGCCTAGAATAGTACATGTTAAATAGTGGAATTTCACTTAACATTTCCTAATGACTGAATAGCAATAATGTAGAAACTCAATAAAATCAGTCAAGGAATTTTCCCATAAGTAAAGAATAGGAGTTCCTAAAATTGACAGGGGCCCAGTAAACATGCATGAAAACTTCAAAACACATCACTGTGAATTTCAAAACACTAGGGAGAAAGAGAAAGAATAGGATACTAGCTTCCATAGGAAGGGGGAATTGTCACATACAAAAGATCAAAACTGCCTCCCAAATCCTCAACAACCACAATGAAAGACAGAATAATGAAAAGATGGTATTTTTTTAATCTGAAGGAAAATTATTGCAATCTAGAATTAGATGCCCATCGAAACTACCAATCAAATAAGAGGGTGGGGCTACAAGGTCATGAAAAATTAGCAGCCCACATCCCTTTCCTTAGGAAGTTAAGGAAGATACAGCAAAATAAAAATAAATGAAGAAGGAAGACACAAGAGACTAGGAAAATAGAGCACAACCTCTATCACAGAGGAAAATCTCCACATGCCAATGAAGGATAATCACATCTCTCTATGGAAGCAGTGAGCATTAGAGTTCACAATGGACTGAGTCAGATCCTCTGAGACTCATCAGATGGAACTTAAGAGTAAAACTGACACATCTGAAATCACCAAGAGTGGGTTTAAATTACTGTTTAAAACGCTGTGGATGCTGGGTGTGGTGGCACACGTGTATCATCCCAGAACCTGGCAAGCTGAGGTAGGAGGATTGCTGCGAGTTTAGGCTACATAGTGAGTTCAAGGCAGGCCTGAACTACATAATGAGAGATCCTGTCGCAAAAACTAAAAACTCTGTGGCTAAGTTACTGATTTTAAAAATCAGATAAAACATCCAACCTGAAACTATACTACAAAGCTACTGTGATAAAAACAGCATGGTACTGGGCCGGGGAATTAGCTCAGTGGTTTCACCACCTGCTAAGCAAGCGCAAGGACCCAAGTTCGATCCCCAGTACAA